GGTTCTCCGGGTGCCAGACATAGCCTTGGCCTTCCTGCCATTCTCCCAGGGACTGCAAATTGGATCCTTCACTTTCATTATGTCCGGGCGTGGGGATGGGGAAGAGGGGAGTATTGCCCACGCAGTATCCCAGGAGTCATGAAACTGGTGTTTTATTACATGCAACGTAGTCATTAAAGCTGAACTTTATTTCCGAGTCCATTGGAGGCAGGAGGGAAAATGGTTCAGGTGGCTGACTTCACAGCTTTGCTGAGCTCCTTAGCCCAGAGCTTTCCTGTTTCTGAGTTCTATGTCCCAGGTTTGGATAGGAGTTCATAGTGAGACCTGGTAATTATTTTGAGTCAAAGGTAGGTATGAAAGTTTCACATCCCCAATAAAATGATAACAATAGTGAATCCTTTCTGCTTTTGGCACTGCACTAAACATTTTTTTTCTTTTTAAAAAATATGTTTTTATTGATTTTAGAGAGAGAAGAAGGGATAGGGAGAGAGATAGCAACATCAATGGTAAGAGAGAAGCATTGATCAATTGGCTGCCTCCTGCACACCCCCTACTGGGGATTGAGCCTTCAACCCAGGCATGTGCCCTGACCAGGAATTGGGGACCTCTTGGTTTATAGGTCGACACTCACCCACTGAGCCACACTGGCCGACCTGTACATATTTTGATGCAGTAACTAATTTAGTGATCACAGAATCCTAGGAGACAAGTCTTATTCCAACAGAAAAGGAGCCTGAGCATTTGTCCCAGAGTGATATCACAACATCCAGTGACGGTGAGCTGAAGGGTCACTCGAACTGGCTATTCTCCTTGTGGTTTCTATTTACAAGTCCACCTCAAGAGACAGTAAAGCTGTAAGACTGGTAGGCCATAAAGTTCTAGAACAGTGGTTCTCTACCTTGGCTGCACATTAGAATCACCTGGAATCTTTTCAAAATCCTGATTTCTGGGCCTCATCCTCCAGAAATTCTGTGTCTTTATTATGGGGTTGGGCCACAACATTAGTAACAAAGACACAGAATTTCCAGAGGATGAGGCCCAGAAATCAGGATTTTAAAAAGATTCCCATTGGTGTTTGTATCTCTCTCTTCCTCTCCCTTCCTCTCTGAAATTAATAAAAAATCTATTTAAAAACCACACAAAATGATGATTGTCTTTTAAGACAATTTCAAAAGAAATTGTCACTCTCCTGTTACCAACAACAATATGACTTTAAGTTACTTAATATCTGAGGACCTTAGTTTATTCCTAATCAAAGGAAATACCCATGCTCATTTAATAGAGTTGTTGGGAAAATTAAATGAAAGCGGGGAAGTCACAGGGCTTCATACAGAGAAGCTGTACATGAACACAGTGTTTTAAACTTTTGTTTTTAGCAGCATATGTTAAAACGGTTTGGGGATCCCCAGCAGATGGGATGAACTCAGAGCTGGGAGCAGGCCAGGAGGCAAACCTGTCTGGCTTCTTTCTCTCTCTGAGGCCCCTGTTCTGAACCAGGCCCATCCCTAACATTTGTGGGGCCCAGGGCAAGAGTACCTATGAAGGTATGGCTGCCATATGTCTAAATATTTAAAAGTGATAAGTAAGGCCAACAAATTGTTAAGATAAATAAGGTCTATCATCTAATTGAAACAAATTTGCCTGCATAATGGACCGGAAGGCCAGGTTTGAATTTAGGATTCTTGGACTCCTTAGAATTCTGTGCCAAAATGTGACTGACCAGGGAGTGTGGGCCCCTGGACGCCTTTTTTCCCCACCCCTGGATCCATCCTGTGCAGAAAGGGGCCTTGTGTGCTTTGTGTGGATACCCCAACCTCCACGCCCAACCTCTGTTCATAGCCTCTTACAGACAGCAGCCTTTGACCACTCCTGAGTCCAGGGGTACATGTATGCTTGTGCAGTTAGGTCCCCTTGGGAGGCCAGATCTGAGGAAGAGCCCTCCCCCACCCCAGGCTGTGGAAGTGGCACAGGGCAGTTTGAGTAGGATATTCTGGGGTCCCAGGCTCCTGGCGTATGCTCTAGAAGTTAGGGGAGGAGTTAGACTCTGGTTGGGCACGTACCCTTCTCTAAGGTTTTCTCATCCTCTGAGGAAGGGAACAGCTGGAAAAGGGCCCCTCCTACCTGTGGCTAAGGCCAGTGCTGCGCTGAACCCTAGTGCTCCAAGGAGCCCAAATCCGGAACTGACAGCTTCTTTTACAGCTTTTCAGATTTGTATTCTTGACCTATATGGTTCTAGAAGTGCCCTTTCAACAGACTGAAAGCCCTAATTTCTAATCCCAATTAGAAATAAAAAAGATATCCCTTGGTGCCTAGCGCTAAAGCTCTGGCCAGTTCTTTCTATTGACCACTAAGGCTGCCCAGTTGGGCGCAGTTGCAGCCAGCCTTGCCCCTAACCTAGAGGAAGAACAATGGTCAAGCATTGCTTCTGCCCAGCTGGCCACCCCACAGTTCCTCCTACCGACTCGTCCCCATTTTCAGCCCTGGGTCTCTGTATTGCCTGGTGTCCCCAAGGCCAGAGTCTCCCCTCAGACTGTGTGGTGATGGTGATGGGAAGATGTAAGGGAACTGGGGAGCCCAATGATTCTATATACAGACTTTGACCCTCTCACCCTGTTGTTGGCACCAGGCCTCACCTCTGTCTTTTGTAACATCTGGTGCTTTCAAGTTCAAAGTGCCCCGAGGTGGGGGGGGGGGGTCTATTGGGCATGTTTGCTTACTTTGCCAATACTCCTTCTGTGGCAGTTTAGGCTGTGCCTGTCACTATGGCTGTCAGGAAACCCTACTTTATCTATTTTTCATTTGTAAGAAATTAGTTGAAACCTCTGGCCCACTCATTTATCTACAGTTTCCCCTTGTGATTCAATAGTCTTTGGTTTCCTTTTCTAGTGTGTGTGTGTGTGTGTGTGTGTGTGTGTGTGTGCACTGTAGTGTGTGCAATTTCAGGAGAAAGAGGAGGAAGACAAGTAGCCAATTCACCATGTTTGACTAGATTTAAATACTAATAAAGTAGCAGGTCCGATGTTCATGGAGGGTGTCATCTACATTAGAATGGCCTCAGATCCCTTCTTTGGTGCATCATTTCTTTCCCTTTCTGGACATTTTCAGAGAAGCGGGGATTTATGGCACTATCATATCGACCTCAAGCCACACGGGGCCCATGATAGAAAAGCCCTAAGTTTCCAGGCACCAGTTATTCTTATTGGATCCCCTGTGTGTGTTCAGGTTCCAGAACCTAGAATTGAGTGCAGTCTAGCCCCAGTGGGAGCCAGCTCTCCAATCATTTTGGAAATGTGGTCTATCCTTTATTCATTCCTCATTATAGCCCCTTTGTACTGAACTTGCTTAACATAGCATAAAACAGACAAATGAATAGATGCAATCTTTATGAACCTAAACTCCTTAATGAGTTCTTAGGTGATTTAAACCTATTCATGGTCCTTCCTCATATGGAATAATATGTGAACATTCCTGTGCATAATTGTGTACTCATTAATGAATTCCTACCTATGTATAAGTCATTAATTTTGGGGAAAAACCCTTTATCTTCTGGATTAACATTGTCCACAATAGGAAGAAAGGGTTTTACCTGTTAGAGAAGTAGCAGATAATATATATCCTATATAATAAAAGGCTAATATGCAATTGACCGAACAGCAGAACGACCATTTGCTATGACTCACACTGACCACCAGGGAGCAAACGCTCAATGAAGGAGGTGCCCCTGGTGGTCAGTGCAATCCCACAGGGCGAGCATCACTAAGCCAGAAGCCAGGCTCATGACTGGTGAGCATAGCATTGTGGCGGGAGCCTCTCCCGCCTCCACGGCAGCGCTAAGGACCCCTCAGCAGACATCACCCAGGGGTCCTGGAATGCAAGAGGGCACAGGCTGGGCTGAGGTGCCCGCCACCCCCCCCCCAACCCCTGCCCAGTGTACAAATGTCATACACCGGGCCTCTAAAATAATATATATATTTCAGAGAGGAAAGGAGAGGGAGAAAGAAATATCAATGATGAGAATCACTGATTGGCTGCCTCCTGCATGCCCCCTGTTGGGGACCAAGCCTGTAACCCAGTGTGCTGTGCCAACACAGCCAAGGGTTCGGTGAGCCTGAGGTGGGGGGTAAGGGGGGAGGGCAGTGGCAAAGGATTAAAGACAGACAAAGAGAATATAGCTGGGGCTTGGTGGATCTCCTGTGCCTGGATGAGGCCACAGAGAGGGATCCAGCCAGCAAACTGAGGCTTTATTTAATAGTCAGAGAAAAACAAGGTAGTGGTCAACATAGTTACAATGTTCTTGTGAGTTTCACTTATTTTGGCAGCACTTGCTGCACCTCCCACAGTCCATTAGCTACCCAGGAAGGATCTAGGGAGCTTATAAGGTCAAACTTAATTATGCTAAGAGGGCTCTGCCCTCTAAGCTGGGACTTGTTTGCGGCTCTGCCACAGGTCAATCCGAGGCTTAATTCTAGAGCCGCTCCCTACAATCCAGGATGTGCCCTGACTAAGAATTCTGGTTCATAGGTTGAATTCTGTTCAACCACTGAGCCACATAGGCCAGGCCAGATCTTATATTTGAGAGCTTATTGCAAGTAATGTTAACAAGGGTGCTGTTAGACTAGAGTATGTCCAGAAGAAAGCACCAAAGGTACTTAAACCATGTCTCTGAGGGGAGTTAAAAAACCTGGTCATGTTTCTCTCAGGGATCCTCTCCCGCCACCGCCGGTGCGCTCACCAGCTATGAGCCCAGCTTCTGGCTGAGCAGAGCTCCCCCTGTGGGAGTGCACTGACCACTAGGGGGCAGCTCCTGCATTGAGCTTCTGCCCCCTGGTGGTCAGTGTGCATCATAGCGACCAGTCATCTGGTCGTTCTGCCATAGGGTCACTTAGGCTTTTATTATATAGATATTTTTGTCTTAATTGGTTTCCACGGCAGAGCCTATAATAAGAATTTTTTAGCTGTGTCCAAAGCCATTTTGGAATTGTGAGTTTTTTCTCTTATAGGAGAAAATGCAGAAGTTTCCATGGACGTTTCCCTGGCTTACCGTGATGATATGTTTGCTGAATGGACTGAAATGGCCCATGAGAGAGTGCCTCGGAAACTCAAATGTATCTTCACATCCCCCAAGGTAGGATTCCTTGACGTCTAATTTGTTGGAGTTTTTGTTTGTTTGTTTTTAAATATATTTTATTGATTTTTTACAGAGAGGAAGGGAGAGAGATAGAGAGTCAGAAACATCGATGAGAAAGAAACATTGATCAGCTGCCTCCTGCACACCCCACAATGGGGATGTGCCCGCAACCAAGGTACAAGCCCTTGACTGGAATCAAACCTGGGACCCTTCAGTCTGCAGGCCGACGTTCTATATCCACTGAGCCAAACCAGTCAGGGCTGGAGTTTTTATTTGATTTCCAGTTATGTGGGAAGATTTGCTCTACAATTAACAGATATGTTCCTTATTTCTTAGCATGCATAACCCACAGTATCCTTTGTCTTAGTAGAGAAAAGGGCTGTGTAGATATTTCCTATCCCGGCAAAGGAGGAAAGAATAGAAGGAATGACTGTCTGAAGTGATTTAGTTGTTTCTCTGAAATACCTCCATAAAAATAAATTCCTCATTCTTTGGTTAATAGCTGAATGTGTCTGAAGAACATTGCTAAATTCTTTGACATATAAGAATCTTGATATTGGAGTAGTGCTGAGTCTACTTCTCTTTTTCTTAGGCTTCTCTTTGCTGCCAAAGTTCATGTGTAGGTACGAAGACTAAAAATCCCAGTGACCACAGACAGAAAGACAATCTCAGTCTTCTAACCTGTCTTTGGACACTCCCTTCTCTGGTTTTTCCAGGAGGACTCAGTCAACCACCCATAGGAGGGAGATTACTATCCTGCATTGAAAATATGGAAACATTTTCTTTGGGGCAAAGGCCCAAAGATTGATTCAATGACCTCCAGGGATAGTGGGATTTGATGATTAAAGGACCAAATCAAAGTGAGCTGGAGGCCCTTTATAAAAGCCAAGTGCTGCCCTTACACATGCCTCCATGACATTCTGGCCCCTCACCCTTACTGACCCCTCTGCTCTTAAAAGTCTCTGTGAAGGTGAAATGGGGCCATAGTTACTGTTACTCACAGTTACCCACAGTTCCCAAGGGTGCTGACGTGGTGCACCATCAATGATAGGTGATCTCTGATGGTTCTTCAGGTACAGATAGAGTCTCGTTTTCTTGGTGTGAGTGGATGAGAGGCCAAACTTGTGAGAGCACATTGTAGAGTATGTCATTTGTCACACGGCGTCTCCAGGTCAATTGCTCCTGAAGGATTTGGATAGCTTTGTAATACCCACTCCATTGTTTGGTTTCGTTCCTTTCCTCTCCTAGCACTGGCCTTTTGCTGTTGCCGGTAACTATAGCATTGGGATTCCCTGTGGAATGGTAAGAATAGCAGGTTGAAGCCTCTGAGTACCATGCCCCTGCCCTGTCCGTCCTACCTTGAGGAGGAGGAAGACGGGGCAGGCTCACAGAATTAACATTAGTTCAAAACATGGATTTGGAGCAAAACATGTGTCTTCAGCTCCAGGCTGTATCACTTACTGTCTGCTTGACCTTAGGCAAACTTACTTACTCTGTCTGAGCTTCAGTTTCCCTTCTGCAAAATGGAATAATAATGCCTGCTATGGGAGTCTTTATAAGGACTACATGGGATAGTGAACATAAGCAGAATGACCTTATCATGTAACATGTCGTCTGAGACACATTTGAGAATGAAAGAGGATGTGAATCAGATGGGCCACTAGAACTCTCACGGGCATAAGCACCTCCTGGGGCACCTGACACTTATTAAGTCTCTCTTCCGGGTTCTATACTAGAGCTACAGAAAGCATGATCTGAGGACTGGAGCATCAACATCATCTGGGAGCTTGTAGGAAATGCAGATTCCCACGTCACACCCCAAACCTAATGGATCAAAATCTCAGTGTGCAGGAGCAAGGAATCTGTGTTTCAAAAAGATTTCAATTTCTTCTCTTAAGCTTGATAAACTTTGAGAGCCACTGCCCTAGACCAATTGTCGGCAAACTGTGGCTCGGCAAACTGTGGCTCACGAGCCACATGAGGCTCTTTGGCCCCTTGAGTGTGGTTCTTCCACAAAATACCGACTTCTGCGCATGGGCCACGAAGTTCCAATCGCACTGTACATGTGCACCCACGTGTGGTATTTTGTGGAAGAGCCACACTCAAGGGGCCAAGGAGCCGCATGTGGCTCGTGAGCCGCAGTTTGCCGACCACAGCCCTAAACCCTTTGCTGAGTGCCAAATATAGTTCCACTTGCAACCAAAATAAAGCCATCTGGAATTGTTTGGGGAGGCCCTCAGGGGACAATCAGTGGCTAAAAATAAATGGTGGAGGGAAACTGGAGATAGCAGGAGAGGGGACTCTCTAACATGTTCAGATCTTTGCAACAGAGAAAATTAATTAAAACCTTTCTAGCTGTTGCTACAAGTTGCCTGCGTCTTTCAGAGGTGAGACTGGTTGGATATCTAATCTAAAGGCTATAAAGCTTCGGGATATGGAATTTCATCCTCAGAAAAGGGAAAAGTCATTTCTCACCTCACTCGCACACTTGCAAGGCACTGAGAAGCAGAGTGAGGGGGAGTCATTAAGAAGCCTGCAACTGTTCCTCCATGTTGGCTGCTTAATTATCTTTAGGATGTGTTGATCCCTTTCAAGAAAGATATTAAACCTTGAAAAGTGTGAAGGAAAATGAATCATCAAATCTGTGCTTTCTGATTGCAGTGAAATTTAGTTTTGAGTCTGAAGATTAAATGAGAAATTGCTGTAAAGGGCTTTAGTCCCTGGTGGCTTGCGAAGTTAAAAAAAAAAAAAAAAAGAAGTCAAGTTGCCACCTGCTGTAATTTGTCCTAATTAGTCAGTCTCATACTGGAGTTGGCTGGAGCTGGGGGAGAGCTAAGGGGATGGGAGAAAGTAAAGAGAGAGGGGGGATTGTCTATCTTTCTAAATGTCCTAAATACTGGCAGAGGCAGAACTTCAGTGTGTGCAGAAAAGTCCCCAACAGAATGCAGTGTTTATCTTTGAGACAGGTAGGCTAGGCGAGGATCCCAGAATCCGGTGTATCCAATTTCTTTAACTTCGATAAATTTTTTTATTGATTTTTAGAGGGAGAGAAAGGAATAGGTATAGAGAGAAAGAAACATCAATGAGAGAGGAACATCATCGGTCAGCTGCCTCCTGCACACTCCCTACTGGGAATTGAGCCTGCAACCCAGGCATGTGCCCTGACTGGGAATTGAACCGTGACCTCCTGGTTCATAGGTTGACGGTCAACCACTGAGCCCCAACGCCAAGGAAACGTAGATAAATTTGTCTCATGGGTTGGTAGCATTAGCCTCTCTATAGGGACAGGAAAGTGGAGGACACCTAGAGAACAATGAAAGGGGACAAGAACCCTGTAGATTATCTTATTTTACCTTCTTGTTTTACTTATGAGGAAAGTGAGGCCAAATGAGGTGGATGACCTTCACAAGGTACCCACCAAGGAGCAAGGTCAGGTCATTGCCATCCTCATCACAGTACAATGCCTGTCCTCAGGCATGTCTGACACAGTGTCATTCATTTCTTCCTGCTGTACTCAAGTAACCTCTTCCCCATCAGAGCTGAAGGCTGGACTTGGAAGGCCCAGGCCCTCAACCCCATTACTTTTTGGACCACAGCATTAGACTAATAGAGTTTTGTTCTCTTCCCCCTCAAACTCTCAATAAGACAAGACTCTGGAAACATATCAGAAAACCCTCCTTCCTGCTACCACAGTGGGTCATCAACCTCCACAATGCAGTTTAATCTGAGGCTGAATCAGAGCCTATAGTGTTTTTAATTGTTCCTGCAGAGGCTACGCCTAGCCCTGATTTGTACGTATAAGAGAGAGAAAGGAACAGGAAGGAGAGAAAGACAGCCTATACAGAAAGAATCATCCAGCCTGCAGATGAAGTGTAGGGTAAAAGCAGGATTCTTTCTGCAGAAGAATTTTTTTAATTCCATAAGCCAAGTCTAATCAACTGATAGTTCTGATAAGAGACCCTCAAACCTTAAAGGATAAAAAACGATCATGATTGGTTAGTGATGTCTGCTCTGAGTAGGGAGTGGAAGCAAATAAGCCAGATATTTGCCTGCTCGACCTCTACTTTACCATGTGTGTCTTTGGTCTCTATATAGAGGTCTGTTTATTGCACTCTTAAGTTCTGACTCTCCAATAAAGAACTCTGCAAGATCACAGAAGGGGCAGAAGTCTCTTCATACACTAGTTAGTCTGTAGACTCCTTATTATCTTCCTTCTGATTTTTCCACTAGACTTTTTACTCTGACGAGTCACAAAAAATTATAGAGATTCTGAGAATTTAGGCTTGGGAACAACAAATTAGGTCTTCCCTATCATTTGATAAGAAAACATTGAAGCTGGCATATAAACCCAATATTGATGGCAGACACTCATCTCTTTTATTAGGAAAAAAATCCCTGGCTGCTAAAGCTTACGCCTCTACATAGCCATATTTACCCCATGGTAGGAACACAAAGCCAGGAGTCCTAGTGCGGGAGAGCAGAATTTAGTTTTCAAAACAACCTGTGCCCCTACCCTCCAACCTCCCACTGCCATGCTCTGGGCAGTAACTCTCCAATTGCTTGGCAGGAAGGGTGAGAGGCTTCTTTTAAAAACTGGGATTAATTTTTGTTTAATTAAAATGTCTGCTCCTTCTGCCATCTTGCCTCTTGGGCAGTTTAGAACCTTTGGAGATAGAAAATTCCAGCTGGGGATCTCAAACTAATCTCATTACTACCTTTCATCCCTTTCTGTCTTCCCCAAGTCTCAAGGGTTCCTGGAGTTGCTTCTTTTTCTGTCAAATCAATAAAACATAGATGTTCTCAGCTTCTTGCAGCTTCTCCTGCTGGCCAAGACCATGTAAGTAATTAGCCGTTACCTAAGACTGTGCGGAATGTCAGCAAGCGCTTCCTCCTGAACATTAACAAGTTGACTGTTCCACAGAGCCCTACAGGTCTCCAGTGACAGGCTGCACATAAAAAGCATGTAGTCCTGTTAGCCCAGATGGACCTGATAGGAGACTCAAATGAGGATTAAAATGCTGAGAAAAGCAAAAGGACATAGAAGAGATTTTTGCTTTTTACCTAACATTTTAGGTTCTACCTCAAATGAGGCTAATGGCTGTTTGTTTCTTGAAGGGAGGAAGGGCAACCGGTGGATACCATGCCTCCAGTGTGCCCTATTATCGATACCTCTAAGGAATACCTTTAAGCTTTAGCTAGGAATACCTTTAAGAATTCGTGCTAGGGCCCTAACCGGTTTGGCTCAGTGGATAGAACATCGGCCTACGGACTGAAAGGTCCCAGGTTCGATTCCAGTCAAGGGCATGTACCTTGGTCGCGGGCACATCCCCAGTAGGGAGCGTGCAGGAGGCAGCTGGTCGATGTTTCTCTCTCTCTCTCTCTATCACTCTCTGTAAAAAATCAATAAAATATATTTTAATTTAAAAAAAGATAACCCACATGTGTATTCAGAATTCCCAAAATCATATTTTCAAAAGTTATCAAGTTAATTTTTAATTACATATACCTTCCCCACCTCTGACCCAATCTGCATTTCAGTGCTGCTGGTAGACAGAAATGGAAAATAAAGCGATTATTGTGCCCATTGAAGATGTGATAATGATCACTTTTGCATAATGAATAGCACCAAAATAAAAGCAGTTATTTTTTACATGTTTCACCTTGCAAGGCTAATTGTCAACAGGAGCAGTGGTGTTTTAGGCTCTTTCCATTTATTTGTTTAATGGGAAAAATTAGAACATGGGGCAAGGGGACCATTTTTTAATCTAAAACATAGTTACACAAGAAATACATATGTATTGTAGAGAACTAGAAAGCACAAGTAAACACATAGAATATAAAAATTACCTGTAATATCCTAGCATATAGAAATAACAACTATTGAAGTTTTGATTTCAGAATTCTTTTATACATATATTCATATATAATCCTTCATGTACAAAAAATAGGATTGTACTCAATTGACACTTTTGTTCCTTGCTCTCTTTTTTTAAAAATATACATTTATTGATTTCAGAGCGGAAAGGAGAGGGAGAGAGAGATAGAAACATCAATGATGAGAAAGAATCGTTGATCAGAGCCCACAACCCAGGCATGTGCCCTGACCAGGAATCGAACCATGGCCTCCTGGTTCATAAGTCGATAATCAACCACTGAGTCACACTGGCCGGGCCTTGCTCTTTTAATTTAATGGCATTTTGTGAATACGTTAATGGTATATTGTGAATATTGACCATATACAGTGAATGAATATTAAATACACATACACACACACTCACATAGATTTACTTTAACACATTTTACCAATCTTAACTTGGGCATCTATGATTTCTCCAATTTTTCAATGAAAGCCATACAGAAAAATCTTTGATCATATTTTTAATTATCCCCTTCGTATAGAGTGGGTCCATTTTTATGCCTTCGGATTTATATTTCTACAATGCCTGAGAAGGGGTCAGTATATGCTCTGAATGTGAAAGCTTTTGATCTGGACAGTTCAGCAGACAAGGTCTCCCCTTACCTCTCTCTGCTGGTAGAAAATAACACCAAGATATATTCACCTTCAAAATGTTGGCCTCTCTCTAGGGAATCCACCAAAATGGAGGCTTCACCAAGGTGTGGTTTGCCATGAAGACCTTCCTTACGCCCAGCATCTTCATCATTATGGTGTGGTATTGGAGGAGGATCACCATGATGTCCCGCCCCCCGGTGCTTCTAGAAAAGTAAGGGCTGAGATGGGGGCACCCTGATGGAACATGGCATTGCATGATCTGATTGTCTGCTCCTGGTTTTGCGGGATCTAAGTCAAGTGGTCAACGTAGTACTTGGTCTAGTGATTTGCCCAAGAGTCATTCTGGAGTTTTTTCTCCTCCAGCTTTCACATAGATATTATTATTAAATGCTACAGGCTCTCTCTCTTTCAGCTCCTTGTTCTGTCCTTGTTCCTCAGCCCCATGGTCTGACTCAGATACTTCTCTTTGTTACAGGGGGTGAGCTGCCTTTCTCCTAACTAATCCCGGTCCAGAAGGACAATGCTCCTGTGGACGTATCCCTTTCTCCCATATTATTGACTTTTTCCTTTTTGCTGAAATCATTCCCACTAATGTAAAATACTCTCTGTTACCTCTCATTCTTGAACAAAACTTTTCCTTTTCCCTTTTCCCCTTGAAGCCATCACACTATTTTTCTTTTTTACAACAAAACTCCTCAAAAAAATTTGTCTGTATATCTTCTCCTCCTAGTTTTTCTTAAGCCCATTTCACACACCACTCCCTCCTCCCACCCCATGAAACTGGTCTAGATAGGATCACCAGTGACCTTCACATTCCAAACCCAATGGTCATATCTCAGTCCTCACTTTTCTTAACCCATTATCAGCATTTGACATGAGTGATCACTGCCTTTTTTTTTTTTTGAGCCTTTCCACCCTTTTTGTGGTCAATGTCCTCCTTTGCTGACCATCGCTCAGTCTCCATTGCTCTTTCCAACCAAATTCCAAATTCTTAAACTTTGGAGCCAGGGCTCAGTCTTTGGAACTTTTCTCTTTATTAGCTGTGCTTAGTCCTTAGATGATCTCATCTAATCTCATGGTTTTAAAAATCACCTAAATGATGACTCTTAATTTATAATTGTCAATCTCAGCCTCTCCCAACTCTCGATTCAAATATTCCAACTGTTTATTCAACATCTTCACTTACACAGAAATGTAACAGGCACAAAAAACAATGGATATCCTCCCATTTCAAACCTGTTCCTCTCCCAGGCGTTCCCATCATGGGAAATGGCAACTCCACCCTGTCCCCTTTACTTCTGGTTTTTCACACTCCTCATCTAACCCACCAAGAATTCTCACCATTTTCATTGCTAATACTCTAATCTAACCCTCCATCATTTCTCACCTGGTTTATTTGAAATAGCCTCTCAACTGTTCTCCTTGCTTCCACCATTTTCCTCCCTATAATCTATTCACACTGCAGCCAGATTCCCTTCCAAGTGTAAATCAGATCATGCCACTCCTCTGCTCAAAGCTCTCTATTGGCTTTGCACCTCCTTTGCCCTCGCCTATAAAGCCCTGGATGCTCTGGACTCTTACTACCTCTGATTTTATCTCTCATCCTCTTCATCACCTACCACCCCCTTGATGGTTCTCAAACATGCCTAACCCCAGGACCTTTGCACTTGCTGTTCTCGTTATCTGAGATGCTCTTATCGAGCTAGATCTGTGGCTCAATTCCTCATTTCCTTCAGCCCCTGCTCTTATGTATCTTATCTTAACGGCTTTTCCTGCCCATTATATATAAATAGCACTACTCTCCATTCTCCCACCTTGCTTTATTTTTCTTTATAACAATCATTCTCTATTTACTATCTTTCCTCTTATATCCCTCCTCTAACCCCATCTGAATGCAGGTATCACAAGAGTGGGATCTTTGTTTTGCTATCTATTACATCCCTAGTGTCTAGAATAGTGACTGGTACATGGAAGGAATTCAATAAATACGAATTTGTTGAATGAATGAATGGATGAATGAAAGAACCATGTTACTCCATTGTTGAACCTTTTTTATTGGGTCAGTTCTTTCAGGATAAATTGCAAATTCTTTAATGAGGTATTCAAGTTTCCTCATGAGCTCACCCCTTTTCGCTTCTCTGGTATCATGTCCTGACATTTCCTGATAAGTGCCTCATGCAGATCCCCAAATGCTCAGGCTGTGGCAGGCTGCTGTGCCTCCATCCACACATTTCCCTCTGCTTGGAATGCCCTTCCACCTCCTTATCCTTGACTCACAACTCAGCTCAATTTCTGTCAAAGTTAGAGGTCCCAGCAGCAGCCTGTGCACACACTTCTATCATACCGCTTATCACACTTTGTCTCTTTATCTGGCTGAGGCACTAAACATATTTCCAGGAGTGGAAGAACTGGTCATATTTATTTAGGTATTTATAGCCCTAACAAAATGCCCAGTGCATAATCTGTGCTTAATAAACATATGTATTTCATTAATAATGAATGAAAATAGGAATAAATCAGTGACTCAATGAATAATTTGATAGAGAAATGGCAATTAATAGTGTGATGGGGGAAGCAAAATAAACACTAAACAAGCCATTAAAAGAATGTGCATTTCATATTGTTTGGAGTCACTTATTACCGAAACGAATATGCTCATATAATTCACAGTTGCTGAGGAAAGCATTATAACAATGAATATTCTTAGAGATCAGGTTAGTGATAACCTGAATAGATAAGAGAGGATCATTATATTCAAGGAGGTCTGATTAAGGAGGCAAGGGAGGGTAAAAAACATTTTAGGAAGCTTTTAATCTGAGCTGGTACCAAAATAAAATTCCAGGGATTAAGGAGGTTAGGTTCAGTGATCTAGAAAGGTTAAGGTAACACTCCTTCATTCTGCAATGGTACCACAAAAAGAAGATATTTTGTATCTCTGTGTAGAAACTCACTCTGAGAGCTAAGAAAATTGGTCATATGGCTTCATTCCCAATAAGTAACATCTCATTCCCCAAAACTGGCTTCTGACGTTTGAAGATCTGCTTCCCAAATTGATCAAATCATTTTCCTGATATGTTCTTGCCATCAGAGTCATCTTTGCCCTTGGGATTTCCATGACTTTTATCAATATCCCAGTGGAATGGTTTTCCATTGGGTTTGACTGGACCTGGATGCTACTGTTTGGTGATATTCGGCAGGGCATCTTCTATGCAATGCTTCTCTCCTTCTGGATCATCTTCTGTGGCGAGCACATGATGGTAAGAGTCAGAACCTCTCGGGGAAGGGACAGTGGCTATGGCAGAATAAATTAGTGGCTACAGGAGTGAATTCTGGGATCAGGCTCTCGGTTCCAATTTCTGCTTCACCACTGGTTAGCTGAGTGGCCTTAGGCACGTGACTTAATCACTCTGAATCTCAAGTTCCTCATCTATAAAATGGGATTTGTGTATAGGATTTTTGTGAGATGTAAATGTAACATACTTAGCAGGGAGTAAACACACAAGATTAGCGATTATTATTATTTCTTGTCCTTTGGCTTCTGCTCTGCATATCCCCAGGACCAACATCACCACCAGAGAATGTAGTGTAGGCCCAGCTCTTTCCAGCTGGCAATTTGTCCAGGTGGCCTAGTAACCCCTCTTACCCTGAAACGCTGTCCTCCCTGGTCAGTTTGCATAGACACCAAATCGTATTTCAAGAGGAATTGACGGCACCATGGATAAAAATAAGAATGGTGCCGTCAGCACGTTGTGGCTGAAATGACACGCCAGCTGGAGCTTGGGCCCCAGGTCAAGCACATGGGCTTCGTGGTTGGGTGGGCTGTTTGTGAATTCCATGATGGTTTGATCATTGCTTCCGAAGCCGTGCAGCCCTTCCAGGAGAACAGTGAGAGGAGAGAAAGGCTTTGCCTACTGCTAGGGGAGGCTTGAGGGTTCGCCAGCAGTGACACATGGAGAACGAGCCCTCAGCAGCAGGGACAGTGAGTGGAGTGGGCTCAGGAGCAGCGGCCGGACAGTCTGCCAGGGTGCACTTCCCAGAGTGAATTGGTGTGGACTGTCCCGCCGGGATCCCAGCCTGGATGTAAACTGTGTCTTTTGCCTTTCTCTATTTTCTCACTTTACTCGCCTTTATTTTCTTTTGTTTTTGTGAAATTGTTTTAATGAAGTATATTTTTTAAATTTTATTTTATTGTTTAAAGTATTACAGATAGTAGTACATATGTCTCCTTTTTTCCCCCCCATTGACCTTCCCCTGACCTCCCCCACCCCCCAGTGTCTTGTGTCCATTGGTTATGCTTATATGCATGCATATAAGTCCTTCGGTTGATCTCTTACCTCCCCAACCCCTACACTCCCCAGCCACCCCCCTTTATTTTTTGTCTTTTAGTATCTTTGTACATGTATCAAGAGGAACCATTCCTGTTTTGAATAAAGACAGGGAAAACATGGATTTATTTTCCTAACTTTGAGACCTCTTACATTTGACATAGTTGAATACCTTAAAGCCTTTATTCAGTCCTCTGGGGACCACCCCCCCTTATCAAACACAAAGAATAAGTCACATAGGAATTTAATTCTAAATGATTTAACCTATAAGGCCTTTCTTTGTGTTCCTGTAGCACCCTGTTGTTATTACTATGAGAGTTTTAGGAACAGATTTTGGTCTCACCCATTCTCAAAAGCCTAGAGTCTGACACGATGTTTGATACACAGCAGGTTGTCAGCGAGGATTGTTCGAATGACTGACTCACCGATAGCATTGTTTTGCTCTCCCCATCTTTATCTCATTTCTCCACTTGGCTTTCATCAGGATCAGCATGAGCGGAATCACATAGCAGGGTATTGGAAGCAAGTCGGACCAATCGCTGTTGGCTCTTTCTGCCTCTTCATATTTGACATGTGTGAGAGGTGAGCAGATGCCTGTGGGACTCTGGGCTGAAATGCACACCAGCATGTCTACTGCCCGCTCTTCAGGAGGAGTTTTCAAAAGGGAGAAGGGTAGTTGGGAGCCTGTGGACATGGTCACATCCTCAGATAGGGATTGAGATTAAATCAAAAGTAAAGCTCTTTATAGATGCAAATGATTTGGGCTGATTATTCCTTTTTTTAAATTGTATTTTATTGATTTCAGAGAGGGAGGGAGAGGGGGAGAGATAGAAATATCACTGATGAGAGAGAATCATTGACCAGGTGCCTCCTGCACGCTCCCTACTGGGGATCGAGCCCACAACCAGGGCACCTGCCCTGATCATGGAATCAAACCGTGACCTCGTGGTTCCTAGGTTGAGGCTCAACCACTGGGCAACACTGGCCGGATTGGGCCGATATTCTTCAAACTCTTTTTCTATTTAAGTCCTCTGTGACATTTCTAAATACACCCTCCACCCCTCCAGCTGAAAAGCTAAGACTATATAGAAAGGAAAGTGCTTCCTTTGCCTCTGTATTAATTGTTTCTTGCTTTTCCATCTCATTTCTCTTTGTAGAGGGGTACAACTCACGAATCCCTTCTACAGTATCTGGACTACAGATGTTGGAACAGAGCTGGCTGTATCCTTCCTGGATAGTCTCAGGGTTTTATTTCTTCCCATAGCCATCTGATCCCCAAGATCATTTTCTAATGGTGTTCTCCATATGTGCTCAGCCAGAGCTTTGATCCTTAGACCGAAGATAACGGCACAATTAAAGCAAATAATGAAGGAATTAATGCTTGCTTTCAAGCCTGGGTAAGAGCAGGCAAAATAAGGAGATTGCAGCACGTCCCTGCGGCGGAAGCATCAGAATTGTTGGTCTTATTGCACCCTGTCTAAATTATCTATTCCACCCTTGTTTACTGCAGACCAAAGCATGACTAGCTTTTCCCTGGAGCCATGGAGGTTCATTTCTCGGCTCCTTGTGGGAGAGCCAGTTTCTGAATTCCTCTGTGTGTGAGACTTCTTACAGTGACCTTGGTGTGCTGGCATACCATGCTGCTGCTATTCATTTCTGAGACCAAGAGGAGATAAGGCTAAGGTGATTAGTTCCAGAGGCGTTGCCCAAGGCCTCTGTTTGGTTGTATAAACTCTGCCAGAGTCATCTTCATGAAGCAGAAGTGACGGTATTAGCTTATCCCTTTTAAGATGCTGGATTTAAATATTTTATCTTCCCAAATAATGCGTTAAATCCTTGGGGAGAAAAAGACTCTCCTCTAGAGAGGGGAGAAAGGCTTGAGTTGTATTCTTTCCTGATGTATAATATCTTGTTATGTGCTGGCCAATATGCTTTGCCTGGCCATGATATTTATATTGGCTTCGGAATATCACAAGAAGTCTGTGAGTACACTAAATCTGTGAGCTGCATATATACTGAGTGGCCAGATTTTATTATGACCACCCTATCAGTACTTCATTGACACTTCCAAAAATACTGAATATTGAAAACTTCCTAAGCAAATACTCTCAAGGTTTTATTATTATTATTTGCATAACTAATTCACTTCATTGTACTGATGGGGTGGTCATAATAATCTGGCTGGTCATAATAACCTGGCCACTCAGTGTGTGTGTGTGTGTGGGGGGGGGCCCAGTGCACAAATTCGTGCACTCTAGGGGCCCAGTGCACAAATTCGTGCACTTTGAAAGGAACTGTGGCCTGTGAGGCTACAGTAGGCACAGGGGCGGGTCTTGGCCCATCCTCCACACCCCTGCCTGGCCCCTCCTGCTGCAACCCCCTGTCCCCTGTCTACCAGCAGCCCCACTCCCACTACTTCCGCTCCCATGCGCTGATGCCACCGGCCCCGCTCTCACCCACCCGCTGACAGTGAGGCAAAGAATTTTCAGTAACCACCAGAGGCTCGCCCTGATGACAGCAACCGGTGCCCTGCTTGGTCTGATGCCCCTGCTCACCTGCTCCAACATCCCACTGCAGCCGACGCCTGCCATGTTCCGTGCTCTGCCGCCTGCTGCTGATGCCCACCAGTTCCACGCGTGCCCCCTGGTGGTCAGCACACGTCATAGCGACCGGTTGTTTGGTTGTTCTGCCATTCAGTCTATTTGCATATTAATTAGCCTTTTACTATATAGGAGATTATATATAATATATATAATACGTATATATATAATATATAATACATATATAATACTTATATATATATAACATATATATATATGTATATAATGTCACATCTACTCCAGCCCTTTTGTTCTATGATATGATGGCAATTTAGGAAGGCAAATAACATTTAGAGTCCTGAAGCAAATAATTATGTATTCCAGGGTACTATTGATTTTAGGAAAGAAGGAAAAGCTTCATTAAATATATTATTTAATGAAATATACATGCTGAATCCACACGTATTAAACAATTGTTAAATATGTAACTTGGGGTAGAGTTGTAGCAGAAAGGAATTAAAGGTCAGGGCACCTGTCTCCCGAGCCAGCTCACTCTACCCCACTCAGTGGTTCTCAGACTGAACTTTAAAGATAGGTCTTAAAGTCACCCTGCTTGGTCTGAAAGTATATTGCTACCCTCTCAACCCCCACCTTGGCCATGTGTCCTCCTGCTCCCCGTTCCATTTGACACGATAGTTTTCGTGGTGGACAGGAGATTGCAAACAGAACTTCACACCTGGTTTTACTTTAAGACCTTCATTCCCATGGCCAGCCTCCCTTAGCAGCTGCTGCACCCAACCCCACACCACCCGCTCCTATTCCAGGGTATTACAATCACCTTCCAAAAATCCAGAGTCTAGCCCAGTGGTTCCAGACATGGTTATTCTTGGTGTCCTATCCCTTGGAAAATCTGATTCCATATCCCTGCAGTGAGAGACCTGGGCTATCTGTATTTTAATTCCTCTGGTGATTTTAATGCAGCTGTCCACTTGATCAGTATTATGCAATCAACACCTAATATTTTAGTGCTTTTTAAATTTATTGTGTATATGAACCTCCTGAGAACCTTGTTAAAAGACAGATTCTGATTCAGAAGGTCTAGGGTGGGCCCTAGAGTCTGCATTTTTAACAAGGGAAGCTTTGTTTCTCTTCTTTGGCTTAGAAAGCAATTTGGAATGTTTCTCTCTTTGCTAGATTTGTGGCAGAAAACCTGCCTCACTGACCTTAGAACCAGGTTTTAATATTTTATACCCCTGAAAACTACCTACATATTTGGAGAGAAAAGGTATTACCAATGGAGCTGGGAGAAGGGCTTGTGTGCTTGCCTGCCCTGCTGTTTCCTTCACCGAACACCATCAGATGGCCTTCATCATCGTGGCTGGGATCTGCCTCTGCCTGTACTTCCTGTTTCTGTGCTTCATGGTATTTCAGGTGTTTCGGAACATCAATGGGAAGCAGTCCAGCCTGCCAGCCATGAGCAAAGTCCGGCGGCTGCACTATGAGGTGAGCAGGTCTCTTGGCTCATTCAGGAAATGGTACTCAGTATCCCCTGCTGCTGTATAAACACACACACACACACACACACACACACACACACACACACACACCACACCCCACCCCACCCTACACCTGGAGATGGGAAGCCTTTATTTCAAATACACATACACATTGAGAGATTTGTGTGTACTAGAGGATCTCTGGGAAAAATAAGAGGCTAAATCCTACACCGAGAGGCATGTAGCTGGACTATCTAAATTTTGGAGTTTTCTGAGGGTATAAATGTATTTCTGTCCCCAGTAAGGAGTAAACTTGTCCCACAGGTTTTTCAGCTTTGGGGTGGAATGTAGGTACATGCTCAGTGGGAGATTTGAGTTTGATAGACTTGGGATTTGGCTTGGGGTGAGGCATTAGTTAAGGTTCCCTTAAGACTGGGTGGGGTTCAGCCCAGGTGATCTGATTTGCAGACTCAAGGAAGCCACAGTTCCCCCTGAAATACCCAGCAGATGCTCAGATAGAGTTCAGTGATCTCTGTTTATAGATTATGTGCCTCATTCAAGAGAAACACTCAAATCTCTAATGTGGGTAACATGTTCTTGATTTCTCAAGGATCCCTTTGGGCTCACACCCAAGAGGCTGAGCTTAGAAACATGGACCTAATTCCTCTCTGAAGAGAGAAACAGAAACGGCAGAACCACAGGGTTCCCATATGCGGTGGATCTTCAGAGGCATCCCTTCCCCAAACACAGGTTCTCTTCAACCCTGCTCTCAGAAACCAGGGGCACTTCTAAAGCTTTGCCTGTCTCTAGAGCTAGAGTGACACATGAAAAAACTCAACCGAGTCCACTTGATGTTGATTAATATGCACGTTTCTTTTTGTTCACTGGAGCAGAATTTTATTTCCACTGCAAAAAAAACAACAACTTGGATTTGGTAACTGAACCCTTGCAGAGAAGCATAACCAGCTTAGCAAGGAAATTAGCAGCCTCATGATGTGCTGTGAATATAATTTCCCAGGCTCTGGTATTACTGTTCCATGAGAGATAAGCACATAGGACGTATTTGGCCCAAGACATTTTTTTTTCCCTCTGCAGGAGAAAGGTTACTATGTGAAATTATTTCACTATCACTCTTAGGGATTTGGTTTTATAGATTTCTTTAAAATTCACTTTTTAGAGATTTATATATTGAGATAAGGATTGATGGTAGCTGGTGGAATGTTAAACCACTCTTTCTCTCTCCTAATAGGGGCTGATTTTCAGGTTCAAGTTCCTCATGCTTATCACCTTGGCCTGTGCTGCCATGACCATCATCTTCTTCATTGTTAGTCAGGTAAGTGGACCCTGAGAGGTCAGGGTGAGACTGTCCCTGGAGAGGTGCTTCTACTCTGCACAGAGAATTCTGCAGAGCTACTGGGAAAGGAGCAGGGAAGCTCTCATGCTGGGCAGCAGAGCAAGCCATGTTTTCTAGGCTTCTTTCTGGGTCTTGTCATTATCCGGCCAGAAGTGGACTGAATTTTCCCTTTCAGTACAGGGGCAGAAACAGTTGCTAAGTAAATTAACAGCCTGCAGCCAGATTGAAGAGCACTTGCTTCATTTACTTCAGAGAATAAACTTTTCAAGCCCTGTAACAGAACACCAGCAAGCAAGTATTAATTTGATTTGATCCTTATCTAGCATTAGCGTAGGTCCTTTTATAGGCCATCAGCCATTCTTTTTAATAATTCTATTGCCACTTAAACATGAAATGAAATTCAAAAGTCCCCTTATCTCTACTGGTTATTTCCAAATCTCAACATTTTGCTGTGCTTCAAAATCTTAATGCGAATTATTTTTAAATATTGGTATCTTGTTTTTGGAAGTTACTATTTACATCTAAAGTATTATGGATCTATCATTTATCTGAACTTCACAGAAATCCTACGGGTAGGATTTGTTATCCCAGTTTGCTAGAATATGAAATCTAGTGGCTGTAGAGACATATCTTACCTAATAATAAATAAACATGTAAATTGACCGCCCCTCCACTATGCTCACCAGCCAATCAGGAGAGTATGTAAATTAACCCAACAAAGGTGGCGGTTAATTTGCATACGTAGGCACAAAGTGGTGGAGTGAAGACTAAAGGCTCTGGCCAGAGTGAAGGCCTGGGTCCCAGGTGCTGGAGGAAAACTGGTGCCAGCAGCCACGGGAATCTCTTCATGCAATGGGCCTCTAGTCCTATATATATAATGTTTTCCACTTGGGTGGGACTATGGATGGATTACTTAAAAGTTCTAGGTTCAATTTTCTTATCTGTTAAATGGATGTAATAATAGAACACTGTAGAAGGTGGCTATAAGGATCCCATGAACTAATGCTTGCAAAATGCAGGTGTTGTGAGCAGGCAGGCATGCCTTATGAATAGCAAAAAGTGTAATGTTGTGCTAAAGGACCTGGACTAAGTTAGGGACCAGAACCCAGACCTTTGGACTATTTTTTTTTTACCAGCTCCTCTGCCATCCCTGTAAATGTTAGGCATGCTCTCAGAGCCTTAGGGCAAGACTTGCCCCGTTCTGCTAGCAAGTTTCCTTCCAGTACAGGGGCTCCTAACTTTTTGTACCATGAACCCCTTGGGTACACTGGTGAAAGCTATGGATCTCTTCTTTGAATGTTTTTAAATGAGTAAACTAAAAAGCTTTGATTTTCAAAGGGAATCCGATAGATAGATGATATATATGTACAACTATACATAACTATAAGTGTAATTGATATGAAAATGTGATTTCTATTGGTAACAAAATTATAAGCAGTGCTTCTATTATGAGGGTTTGTTTTCTCTAGTCATAGTTGAAAGAAACAGTAACTTTCAATTAGAGACTGGTGAAAACAAAGCTAGCATATTTTTCTCATTTCAGTTCACGTACCCTTTGAATTCCATTAAGGACACCAAGTTAGGAGTCCCTAGAGTTCTGCTGGCCATGCCCACTGGGCAGTGTCAGTGTTGCTCCTGAAGGCTGAAGTGAATGTGGGGGGAAATAACGAATATATACGTATATATCTTCATAAGATCTGTGCACCACATCTGCTGTGACCTACAACAGTGCTGTGCTTGTATCAGACTGTTTGTTTATAAAACCTTGGAAACTTCATTCTCCACTCCTGATGCAGTGAAAATATTTCACATTCTGAATGAGTTTTTTATTCACCTAACTGAGGCTCAAACAAGTTGTGTGGGAGGCCCGACTTATCCCTTGGCTGAGTCCCTCCTGTGACCAAAATGTTTGCAGCCCTGCAGTGCCTTGGTCATGTGCTTGTTAACACAGCCAGTTCTGCCAGGCTAAGAGAGCAGCGTGCACCACTTGGAGATTCGGAACCTCACGTAAGATGAGCTGAGAAATAAAAGGCAGTACCAAGATATGCTCCCAGGAAGGGCACATTTGGTTCTAACACGTGCTCCTGCCACTTTAGAAAGCTGCAGTCAGTCTCCCACAGCCCCCTCCCCCTTCCTCTCTTGTCTCTGCAGAGTCCCTGCTCCCAGAAGTCAAGAAGGGACATTGGGCTGATGTTTAAGGCGGTTATATGTTGTCCGAATTTAACCTTGTACATGTTTAATGACTGCACCTTTTTAGAGCAAAGGAGGTCAGTCTTCCAAGGAACAGAGTCTGTGGCTTTTCTCTTAAGAAAAAGATTAATATTCCATCGCCCCAGTATTTTCTAACACAGCTCCAGCCTGTGGCTGGCTTTTTATATCTGCTGTGACAGTCGGTCCAGAGTGGATTTGAACTCGAAAGGGGTAGCAATGAGGTCTTTTGGATTCCATTAGCTGCTCACATTCCTCCTGCTGGGTGGCTTTTCTATAAAGGTTTATTTATAGATTTAAGACGTTTTCAGGCATAACTCTCAGTGTCCCAGGTACTGTATTAATAGAGTGATCAGAGGATTTATTTTTTAATGTCATGTTGGAATGTTTCAGCAATGAGCTCACCTGAAAGAAAATCTACTGGGTAACTTTTTGAAATAGATCCCAGCCTTAGGTAAAAGGAATTTATTAAAACTTCCATTATACACTCGGGCTTGCTGGGAGAGCTTGCATTTAAGCCCCTGAAATATAATGCGAGGGGTTCTCGCCAGGACATTGAAGCCGGAGGCCAGGAATGAAAGGCCGTCGGAAGCTGTGGAATGCAGTGACCTTGAGGCTTTGTAGCTGGGCACTGAGGTGCAGTCTTTTAACGCCTGCCATTTTAATGGCCTCAGTCGTAGCAACCGAGAGATGGCGCATCACAGTGTGGTATTTTAGCCCCTTCCCTCTGGAAAAGAAAGAGGCGTTCCATTTAGGGGTGACGAGCAGTAGGGAACAGAAGTGCAATGCAGGGGAGAAGGTCACCAACCTTCACTAAGGGAACCCCCAGGTGCCTGACACGCAGGTCAAGCCATGAGCAGCAAACTCCCAGAGAGCCTGTCCCCAGCTCTTCTCCTTTTGTTTGTGTGATCACTTCATCCTGTTACTTGCAGAGGAAATGTTTCCAGGAAGAGAGCCTGTGTCTGGGATTTGGAAATCTTGTTGTGAAGTGGAATGCTGGTTGTCAAGACTACTGGGTGTAAAAGGATTTGACCTTCACTTGGCTCCGGGAGTATAATTGGGTGGTTTCACACAAAAGTAAATTGTTCAAATGTTAAATCAGGAAAAGCAGGAACCTTGAGAAAGAGGATGTAGACAGAGGGGAGATGATTTTCTCTTTTTGTTTTTTGTTGGGGCTACCTGATTTTTCTCCCCGAAAGTTAGAGCGGGGTGACTGTCACCTCTCTGCGTTGGCATTAATGAGATTTTTGGATTTACAAGGCGCTCTGTGGAGGCTGCTGATTGTGGCGCATGGTGGTGGGAATGTGCTCAGAGCCCAGGATGGCTCCGGCATGAATAATTGAGGGAGGAGAGGGGAAAACACAATCGAGTCCCCAACAGCAGAGTGACACTGTATACAATTTATTTATGCAAACAATTCTTTG